TGGGAGTTGTGGAGGTGGAGTGTCCGATGGTACAAAATACACAGGCAGGTGCTTAGTTTTGGTGTGGCTGATCGTAAGGCCACATCTCTTAGTGGCACGCTCCAGTCTCAGCATCAGCGTCTCCAACTCCTCCTCTGAATGAGCAGCTATTACCAAATCATCGGCATACGTAACGTGGTTTAGCAATAGGAAGCCATCTCTTGACCGCACCCGGGCATCGATCAGCCTCCCATTATATCTGTACCATATGGAGATTCCCCCGGTACAGCTATTGAAGGCTTCACAAACTACGTGGTCAAAGTAGATGTTACATAATGTGGGAGCCAGAGGACATCCCTGTCGCACCCCAAGGTGTACAGGGAATGGCTCTGACTCCCTGCCACGTAGTTTTACCCGTGCCCGCTCACCATCATGAAGGTCCTTAATGATCGTGAGCAGAGGGTCAGGGACTTCAAAAGCATGAAGAACAACCCAGAGCCCAGGCCTACTGATGGTATCATAGGCCTTGACCAGGTCAATAAAGCAGAGATGTAGGTCTTGCTGGAATTCCCTACACCTCTGCTGTAGCAGACGGACAGAAAATATGCTATCTGTGCAGGACTGCCCTTTCCTGAAACCGCATTGGGGCTCCACAAGCCTCTCCTCAGCGTGCCTGGCAAGACGATGTTGAATAATCCTTGCCAGGACCTTTCCCGGCACACTGAGGAGTGAGATGCCCCTGTAGTTGTTACAGTCTGTGCGGTCCCCCTTCTTAAAGAGGGGGACCACCAGGGCATCCTTCCAATCCTGAGGAACCCGTCCAGTGGTCCAGACTGTTGTTATGATGTCATATAGGGCAGTCTGTGCACAAACGCCACCCTCCCTCAGCATTTCGCTTGGGAGATCATCTCTGCCCGCTGCCTTTCCTGGTCTCAGACTCTGGATCGCCTTCAGTACTTCCTCAACAGATGGCACCTCAGCCAGCCACTCACAGGGGATGACTTCTTCCTCCCAATATTTGAGGCACTGCAGCCTCAGCAGGGTCATCCCCACTTTGTGCCACGATGTTTTCACAGCTGAGGGATTTTCCTTCCCCCAGGACCTCAGAAATGCTCAGCAAATCTGCAAACCTTTTCCTGGGGGTCGGAGATTGGATCACCATTTTTTCCCCTAATGATGGTAATAGGTGTGGCGCTGCAGGTTACGTTTTTGATGGAGTTAAATAGAGATTTGTGATCGTGGGCCACTGAGGCAGACTCCATCTCCTCAGCAACCCGCGACCACCACCCATCCTTGAAGCCCCTCACGGCTCTCCGAACCTCCGAGCGAAGGCTGCGGTAAGCCTCCTCATTCTCTGACGTGGGATTCTGTAGCCGATGACAGTGGACCTATCGCTTTTCTCAACTATCCCGAACATCTCCTCTGTCAGCCAGGGTCTCTGGGGAGGTCTGGACCGCGTACCCAAAGCAGTCAATGCAGCTGCATGAGTCACAGTCCTAAACCTTGCCCATTTTCCCTCGACATCAGGAGGAGTGGGGGACGACGACAACCCCAGCCACAAGCGATGATGAAATTCTCGCTTGCAACTTTCATCAGATAACTGAGACCAGGCCACTTTAGGTTGGAATGGGGTCCTGGGTGTAAACCCACCACCAGAGTGGAAGAATAGCAGGCGCATCTTACAGATGACAAGTTGATGGTCAGAGGGCAGATCAGCTCCACTTTAGGTCCTGGTGTCAAGGACATAGGCTCGCATCCGCTGGTCAGTCACTATGTAGTCCAGCAGATGTTCTTGCTTGGACCCGGCATGCATCCATGATGTTGTGTGGATGCGCCGATGCCGGAACAGCGTGTTGGTAATTACAAGCCCATGGGCTGCACAAAAATCTAGCAGCCTCCTACCGTTGTTATTGAGCTGATCTGGCCCATGCCCTCCAATCACTCCAGACCAGGTGCCAGCATCATGACCAACTCGGGCATTGAAGTCACCCAACAAGATGACTCTATCCCGAGGGGCCACTTTAGCCAACACCTGTGACAGGAGGTCATAGAAGGCATCTGACTCATCGGCTTTGCCTGCATCCCTCCATGGATGTTCGTCTTCAGAGAGGCATAAGTAACCCCGACCACCACTCTTCGCCTCCGGTTGATGGGAAGGCGAGCCCAAAGTAGCCTGGGGCTTACAGCTTCCCACACCTCACCGCCACGCTCCCACGCCCCCTTCATTCTTTTGTTCAAAAGAAGAGCCACACCCTGTTGTTTGGCAGTCTGCTGCCCCGAGTAGAGGACTGTCCACCCCTCATGGTGGCAAGAGCCAGAACCGGTCCACTGGACCTCCTGAATGCCACAGAGATCCAGGCGGTACCGGTCCAGCTCCCGACAGAGGAGTTGCAGCCTCTCCTCCGCAGTGAGCGTTCGAACATTCCACGTGGCCACACGAAGTAGCTTTTCGTTGTTTCTGGAGGAGCCCCAAGGGTAGAGATTCAATCTCCTGGCTCCACCAATTGGGGTTTGGCCAGGCAACATCATAGACGCCTGTCCTCCCGGGGCCTCCGGCACAAGCTTATTAGTTATATATTTTAGACGTGGTTTAGTGGTACATTTTTGAAGGTGGAGGGGTTACCAGCCCCTCGCACCCGTCCAGAGCCCCCGTTTAGCCACTGTGGTGGTCACAGACGCCACGAGGGGAGGAGCCAATCGGAATTGGCCCTCCCCCCACAGCACTGTCCACGACAGAGTTGCCCGTCCAGCACCGCGAGGAGGTAGGGGGTTGTTTTGCCGGACACCCACTCACTCACCCACCCACTCACCGTACGGCAGGTCACAAGAACACACTCACCCACTCACTCACCCATCCACTCACCGCACTGCAGGTCACCTCACATCTATTTCCGCCTCTTCCCTTGCACTGCTCCACTTTCAAATTCAATCCCCATCATCTTTTTTCCCAAGCTCTTTTAATAACGATCTTGGCTCAATTCAATAAACGCATTACACGCTTACCCATTACAACTTGGACAGGACTGTTTGTTGACGTTTATAGGCCTTTGAGCTCGGTGCTGAGCAACTGTGTTTTGTTATCATCCATGATGAATGGAATATATTTTAAACCTCGCCCACAATCTCAAACCACGGGCATCCTGGAATTGTACTGATTTCTGTTCGGATGGCAGGAAATCCTTTGTTACAGCTACTGTGATGCCGCCGCCACGGAGCCGATCGGCGGGTGGCCCACCTGCGATCTCGCCGCTCCGAGCGGCGAGGCCGACATTGCTCCACCCCACCACCTCCCCACCCCCCCCCCACCGGAACACACACGCACGCACTCCCCCCCACCATTAGAGCGCGTGGGGAGACACCCTGGCCGACAGGTTTTCACCCAGAAGCCCTCGTAAAGGGATAATCTTCACGGTTTCCTGCAGCCAGGGAATTGGACGGTCTCCCCCGACGCTAACACCCACCGCGGCGCCGTGACTTTGGTTGTAATTACATGGTCACGACGGGGCTGCCGAGCCACCGCGGGTAGACAGCACACACAACACACACGGGTCAGCAGGCAGGTAGGAGGGCAGAGCCACGAGCGGCGGGAAAGCAGGGTCGCCCTCTGGCTGGAGGGTCGCTGAGCAGGTAAATTTAGATGCGGACGTCGCTGAAAGCAACGGCCCGGGGGATGCTGGGATACAAATGGGCCTACCGATTGGCGGGTGATCCCAGCGAGCTGATTGGCCCGCGAGTCGGCACCAGGTAGCCCCTTTGATGTAGAAAGAATAAAGCGGGTCAGGGCGAAGGAAAAAGGCTCTCTGGCTACTCGAGTCAACCCCAGGCCCGTCAACTCCCGAGTCCAGCCGCGCGAACGTCCGTGGGACGTATCGACGCGCCGCGAGGACCAGACGGCAGTGACGACGAACCGTGAGTAAGAGAGAGAGAGAGGGAGTTGGGACTTAGCTTAAGGGCAAAACCGGAGAGGGTAAAGGGGAGAAGGACAGGTAGAGTGTAGTGCCGACTATCGAGAGATAGATCGGTCCTGCCCCGCTGATCCCGACTGACTCGGTTAAATAAGGGCTCGCCGACGCGGTGGAATAAATCGTCGGCGGTTACATAACGGACTGGTGTGGTTATTGCGGAAGCGTGGGTGCGCTTGCTGTCGCGGTGGTCGTTACATAACAGACTGGTGTGGTGGTTTTTGCGAGGGTGTGGAAAGAGAGTGGAAGCGTGGGTTCGCTTGCTGTTCTCGGTGGTCGCCGCGTGTGTGGAGCGGCGCCGCGTGGATTGTGTGCGCTACGAACCGTCGGCTGCGGACTCCTGCGTTGCAAGCGGATACCCGTCTCGCACGCATGCCCATCACATAGCCCTTTAAACCCGTTTAAACCAATCCCCCCAAGCGTCGGAGTGAGCACGAACGACGTCGCTTACCCTCCGACCTTTGACCCCCTGTTACCCGCGTGTGATTGGTGCGTGGGACTGCGCGGGCGGGGAGCGTCGCGTTTGGGTGCCGGCGAAGCGCTAGCGGGTCCCAGGGAGGTCGAGTGTGATGCCCCACCGGCAAGAGACCCGGACTCGGGGGGGGACGGCACAGGGGGGGGAACAGGAGCGCGACGACCTTTCCCCGCCAGGGGAGGAGTGCGGCGGCGGCAGCTCCCACACTAGTGGAGAGTCTGGGAGCGTCGGTACTTCGCGGACAGGGTCGCAGGCAGGGGAGATCCCGGGGGCCGGCGACCCTAACACTACCTGCAGAGGGTTGATAGATGTAGGCAACACTAATCTACGGGAATTAATGAGTGAGCAGGACTCTCAATGAATGTATGCGTATGAGTCTATGTGAAGTTTCGTGCTGTACTTTAGAATGAGGCATATTGTCTACTTCAAGTTTAACACGTAGGCTTTCGCGACCAATACTATTCATAATAAACGTTTTGCCAAATCGCCCGATGATTGCTGGATGTAATTACCAACGATGCACACAGCAACAACACTGACCCTTCTGCGAAAACTTGACCGGAACCTCCTGAAATCGAGTCTTCAGACTTTTCTGGGTAACCGAACGTGACCCTAAGTAAGAGGAATAAGAATTGGCTGCATGGTTCATGCTGGAGAGATGAGTGGTCTGGGCGAAACCATTCTGGCCGTGCCCCCCCCACCACCTCCCGTGGAGTGGTTTGTCCCGGCTGGCGCGGGTGCGGAAGCGCTGCCGCTGTGGATCCCGGCTCGGTGAGTCAGCGGCGACTGCCCCCCTCATTTAATTATTCACTCATTCAATCTTCACTTATTCATATAGACTTTTACCCATTCATGGAGACTCCTGCATATTCACTTAGACATTCTTCACAATGTTGTTATCCACCACCCATTGCGTGCAAAGTTATTGATCGCAGGCGGGCGCCACCAAATGTAAAGTTTCCCCCGGGTAGCCTTTAACAAACTGTTGGAGCAAGTGCTGTTAGCGAGCACATATTAAGGCCGGGGCGTCACACGAGTGAGTTGGTGACCAAGACCACGCCAGGCCGTCTTTGCCTCCCCAGTGCTGATGGTACTCGCTTAAGGCTGAGTAGACCTAAAGGAGGCCCAGGACCGCGAGCGGGAATCGAACTCTGGTGGCTGGGGTTTGGTAAGCGCAGTGCGCCACCCGCTACGCCACCGCCCCCGCCTCACACGGGCGTGAGTTCACTCCTTGGGTCGAGGAACACTGCAGCGCAATCCCACGGGAGCCCTGACCGCGATGACTCGGATCGAGAGGTCGCAGTGGGGTCGCGACCTCGCCCCGCCACACACACGCGGCTCACGGTCTGAGGCGGTGGTGCACGGCGCCACCGCTGGCACCGCAGCCACCACCAACCTGGGGACCCTCTGGGGAATCTCTCGCCCTGAGGAGGAACCGAGCAGATTACCCCGATCGCCTCTGCTTTTGGATCCAACGCTGCACAACGACGTGCGCTGCTTGTACAAAAGTCCTCGGCCTGTATCCAGATGTCCGGCACAAACGAGCGAATGTCGTGTGGGACCACCAATTCAAAAATCGAGTTCGGAGAAGATATCGCCGCACTTTCGCTTTTGATTTCTGGCCGTAAGTTTTTTTTTGGGTTAGACCGCAAAACTAATATTGTGGATCCAATATCCATAATATTGGATCCATAATATTGGATGCAATATTGGTTATGCGATGGATAATATTGGTCGTGAAAGCATACATTTTAAATTGCTTTCTGCCATTCACAGAGACGGAGATGGAGGAGGCCACGGCCTCAACGCTCGGCGTGGCCGTGGCGATCGCGTGCAGCCTCCTCAATGGGACCTCCTTCGTGGTGCAGAAGATGGGTATTGGGCGGGCGCAGAGGGCAGGTGCGGGGCATTCACTCGACACATGCACCGCCAACTCAACACACCGCAAACACAACACACACACCGCTAACTGAATGTGCACACACGAACTCAATGTGCACACCGCTAACTCAGCACGCACACCATTAACCCAACTCGCGCACCGCTAACTCTCAACACACACCGCTAACTCAACACCCCCACCTCTAACTCAACACACACCGCTAACTCTAAACACACACACCGCTAACTGACGTGCACACCACTAACTCAATGTGCACACCACTAACTCAACACACACACACCACTAACTCAACACACACACCGCTAACTCAACACACACACTGCTAACTCAACACACACAACGCTAACTCAACACACACACTGCTAACTCAACACACACACTGCTAACTCAACACACACACCACTAACTCAAAGTGCACACCGCTAGCTCAACACACACACCGCTAACTCAACACACATACCGCTAACTCAACACACACACCACTAACTCAATGTGCACACCGCTAACTCAACACACACACCACTAACTCAATGTGCACACCGCTAACTCAACACACACACCACTAACTCAATGTGCACACCGCTTACTCAACACACACACCGCTAACTCAACACACATACCGCTAACTCAACACACACACCACTAACTCAATGTGCACACTGCTAATGCAACATACACACCACTAACTCAATGTGCACACCGCTTACTCAACACACACACTGCTAACTCAACATGCATACACACCGCTAACTCAACACACACCACTAACTCAACGTGCACACCACTAACTCAACACACACACCGCTAACTTAACACACACACCAGTAACTCAATGTGCACACCGCTAACTCAACACACACACCACTAACTCAATGTGCACACCGCTAACTCAACACACACACCACTAACTCAATGTGCACACCGCTTACTCAACACACACACCGCTAACTCAGCACACATACCGCTAACTCAGCACACACACCACTAACTCAATGTGCACACCGCTTACTCAACACACACACCGCTAACTCAGCACACATACCGCTAACTCAGCACACACACCACTAACTCAATGTGCACACCGCTAACTCAACACACACACTGCTAACTAAATGTGCACACCACTAACTCAACACACACACCGCTAACTAAATGTGCACACCACTAACTCAACAGACACACACCACTAACTCAACACACACACCAGTAACTCAATGTGCACACAGCTAACTCAGCACACACACCACTAACTCAATGTGCACACAGCTCACTCAACACACACACCACTAACTCAATGTGCACACTGCTAACTCAACACACACCGCTAACTCAATGTGCACACCGCTAACTCAACACACACACCGCTAACTCAACACACACACCACTAACTCAATGTGCACACCGCTAACTCAACACACACATCGCTATCTTAACGTGCACACCGCTAACTAAATGTGCACACCGCTAACTCAACAGACACACACCGCTAACTCAACACTCACACACACCACTAACTCAACGTGCACACCTATTACTCAACACACACAGCACTAACTCAACACACATACCACTAACTCAATTTGTACACCGCTAACTCAACACACACACCGCTAACTCAACAAACACACCATAACTCAATGTGCACACCCCTAACTCAACACACACACCGCTAACTCAATGTGCACACCGCTAACTCAATACACACACCGCTAACTAAATGTGCACACCGCTAACTCAGCACACACACCGCTAACTCAACACACACACCGCAAACTAAATGTGCACACCACTAACTCAACACGCACACCACTAACTCAACACACACACCGCTAACTCAACACACACACCGCTAACTCAACACACACACCACTAATTCAATGTGCACACCGCTAACTGAACACACACACCGCTAACTCAACACACACACCACTAACTCAATGTGCACACCGCTAACTCAACACACACACCGCTATCTTAACGTGCACACCGCTAACTAAATGTGCACACTGCTAACTCAACAGACACACACCGCTAACTCAACACTCACACACACCACTAACTCAACGTGCACACCTATTACTCAACACACACAGCACTAACTCAACACACATACCACTAACTCAATTTGTACACCGCTAACTCAACACACACACCGCTAACTCAACACACACACCACTAACTCAATGTGCACACCTCTAACTCAACACACACACCGATAACTCAATGTGCACACCGCTAACTCAACACATACACCACTAACTCAATGTGCACACCGCTAACTCAACACACACACCACTAACTCAATGTGCACACCGCTAACTCAACACATTGCTAACTCAACACACACACCACTAACTCAATGTGCACACCGCTAACTCAATACACACACCGCTAACTAAATGTGCACACCGCTAACTCAGCACACACACCGCTAACTCAACACACACACCGCAAACTAAATGTGCACACCACTAACTCAACACGCACACCACTAACTCAACACACACACCACTAACTCAACACACACACCGCTAACTCAACACACACACTGCTAACTCAACACACACACCACTAATTCAATGTGCACACCGCTAACTCAACACACACACCGCTAACTCAACACACACACCGCTAACTCAACACACACACCACTAACTCAATGTGCACACCGCTAACTCAACACACACACCACTAACTCAATGTGCACACCGCTAACTCAACACACACACCGCTAACTCAACACACACCGCTAACTTAACACACACACCACTAACTCAATTTGTACACCGCTAACTCAACACACACACCGCTAATTCAACACACACACCACTAACTCAGTGTACACCGCTAACTCAACACACACACACCACTAACTCAATGTGCACACCGCTAACTCAACAGACACACACCGCTAACTCAACACACACACACCACTAACTCAACGTGCACACCTATAACTTAACACACACAGCACGAACTCAACACACATACCTCTAACTCAATGGTTACACCGCTAACTCAACACACACACCGCTAACCTAATGTGCACACCGCTAACTCGATGTGCATACAGCTACAGTGAGGAAAAAAGCATTTGATCCCCTGCTGATTTTGTACGTTTGCCCACTGACAAGGAAATGATCAGTACATAATTTTAATGGTAGATTTATTTGAACAGTGAGAGACAAAATAACAACAACAAAATCCAGAAAAACGCATGTCAAAAATGTTATAAGTTGATTTGCATTTTAATGACAAAAATAAGTATTTGACCCCTCTGCAAAACATGACTTAGTACATGGTGGCAAAACCCTTGTTGGCAATCACAGAGGTCAGACGTTTCTTGTAGTTGGCCACCAGGTTTGCACACATCTCAGGAGGGATTTTGTCCCACTCCTCTTTGCAGATCTTCTCCAAGTCATTAAGGTTTCGAGGCTGACGTTTGGCAACTCGAACCTTCAGCTCCGTCCACATATTTTCTATGGGATTAAGTTCTGGAGACTGGCTAGGCCACTCCAGGACCTTAATGTGCTTCTTCTTGAGCCACTCCTTTGTTGCCTTGGCCGTGTGTTTTGGGTCATTGTCATGCTGGAATACCCATCCACGGCCCATTTTCAATGCCCTGGCTGAGGGAAGGAGGTTCTCACCCAAGATTTGACGGTACATGGCCCCGTCCATCGTCCCTTTGTTGTGGTGAAGTTGTCCTGTTCCCTTAGCATAAAAACACCCCGAAAGCATGTTTCCACCTCCATGTTTGACGGTGGGGATGGTGTTCTTGGGGTCATAGGCAGATTTCCTCCTCCAAACACAGCGAGTTGATTTGATGCCAAAGAGCCCCATTATGGTCTCATCTGACCACAACACTTTCACCCAGTTGTCCTCTGAATCATTCAGATGTTAATTGGCAAACTTCAGACAGGCCTGTATATGTGCTTTCTTGAGCAGGGGGACCTTGCAGGCGCTGCAGGATTTCAGTCCTTCACGGCGTAGTGTGTTACCAATTGTTTTCTTGGTGACTCTGGTCCCAACTGCCTTGAGATCATTGACAAGATCCTCCCGTGTAGTTCTGGGCTGATTCCTCACCGTTCCCATGATCATTGCAACTCCACAAGGTGAGATCTTGCATGGAGCCCCAGGCCGAGGGAGATTGACAGTTCTTTTGCGTTTCTTCCATTTGCGAATAATCGCACCAACTGTATCACCTTCTCACCAAGCTGCTTGGCAATGGTCTTGTAGCCCATTCCAGCCTTGTGTAGGTCTACAATCTTGTCCCTAACATCCTTGGAGAATTCTTTGGTCTTGGCCATGGTGGAGAGTTTGGAATCTGATTGATTGCTTCTGTGGACAAGGTGTCTTTTATACAGGTAACAAGCTGAGATTAGGAGCACTCCCTTTAAGAGTGTGCTCCTAATCTCAGCTCGTTACCTGTATAAAAGACACCTGGGAGCGAGAAATCTTTCTGATTGAGAGGGGGTTAAATACTTTTTTCCCTCATTAAAATGCAAATAAATTTCTAACATTTTTGACACGCGTTTTTCTGGATTTTTTTGTTGTTATTCTCCCTCACTGCTCAAGTAAACCTACCATTAAAATTATAGACTGATCATTTCTTGGTCAGTGGGCAAACGTACACAATCATCAGGGGATCAAATACTTTTTTCCCTCACTGTAACTCAACACACACACACTGCGAACTCAACACACACACCTCTAACTCAGCGTGCACACCTCTAACTCACAACACACAGCACTAACTCAGCACACACACCACTAACTCAATGTGTACACCGCTAACTCAACACACACACTACTAACTCAACACACACACAGCACTAACTCAACACACACATATCACTAACTCAACACACACACCACTAACTCAATGTGCACACCGCTAACTCAACACACACCGCTAACTAAATGTGCACACCGCTAACTCAACACACACACACACACCACTAACTCAATGTGTACACCGCTGACTCAATACACACACCACTAACTCAACAAACACACACCACTAACTCAACACACAAACACCACTTACTCAACACACCACACATACAACACACTCACCACTAACTCAACACACCACTAAATGAACACACCACGGACACATCACATACACCACAAACTCAACACACACCGCTAACTCAACAAACCACGAACACAACAAACCACGAACACGGCTTGTAACATGGATAGTTTTAATTCGCTCTCAGAGTGAAGTGGCTGCGAGGAACAAGATTCCCCAAGCTCTGTGGTCCTATCTTGGGATTTTTGGCCAACTCCATTCATTAGTGTTTGTATATGTTGGATGAAACCGGAATACCTGGAGAAAACCCACGTGTGCAAGGTTAGTAACACTCATCCCCTGTACAGATGGAATACAGATAGCGATGAATCCACTTGCTGTACTGCCCATACCCTGCTAAGCCAGGAGGTGGCGACCTCGCTGTCCAGCGTTACACCAATTATTGTGTGATCCACCCAACCCGGTTGTCTCCACACAGCACTGGATCACAGGCCACGTGCTGCAATGTAGCAAACACATCGCAAGGTGCAATTTAAGATAGATTTAATTTAATAATCTACGTAGAAAATGCACCCCTCCTCACTTGTGCCACTGTCTTATTTGCAGGTCACTCTTGCCTCAGGGAATGGCTGTGGTGGGTCGGCACTCTTACAAGTGAGGCCAACACAACCCACCACAGTCACCCGACACCCAACACTGCGTCTTCAGTTAAATATTACATGAGCATTAATTTTCACAAACATCCAAATGTTTTTTGACGTGTTTAATGTGCAACATTTTTTTACGTGCGCTTTTAAACTATTTTGTCGATGCGCATTTACGTTCGTGTGGGGAGCAGTGGCGTGGCGTTTTGCTTTACTCCCGATATAAATGAACTGACCCACAGCTTGGGCTGCCACTTGTCCCGGTTCAACTCGGACAGCTGACAACCCAGGTTTGACCCAGACAGTCCGGGAATTGGCATCTGTGTACGGGTGTCAGGAATTAACAAGCCCAGACGCCCTAATGACTGCCCGGTTCTTAATAACCTAGGCTGGCTGCGGCGTATGTCCGAGTTTGGTCTGTGGAATAGCCCTTACCCAACAACACCTGTTCAAGTAACCCTCAGCGCTGTAGCTGGCTAAATGTTTAGGGTTTTTTTCTTCTCTCTTCATAAAAGTACGAACTAGAAACAACGTGCAATGTTGAGACTTTCAAAGTAGGAGTGTAAGGGAGAAGCAGAAGAGTTGTGACCTGAGCTTGGGGTGGTTAAACAGTGAGGATAACTGAAATGCAAGAACTTCTGTTTATAGTAAACTTTGAAGAATTATAGCCATTGTGTTAAAATAAAATGGGTTTATCCACCATGCAAAAGGACGTTTGCAGATAGAAAATTTACGTTTCGATTAATAATGAGTTAGTTTTGTGTATAAATTTAAAATGAATGTTTAACGTGAAGATTGACTCAACTTTATTATTTTCAGTGGCACTGGGCCAAGCAGGAAACTTTGTTGCCTACAACCTGGCTCCAGCAACACTTGTGACACCCCTGGGTGCCTTTGGGATCCCATTCGGGTAAACATTTACCATCGTTTGTCTGTCACTGAAATCTCACGGCGCGAATCGCACGTTCCCGTTCTGGCTGCTATCTCCTCTCGTCTGTGGTCTCCCGTGCCAGAGAATTATTTTATCTTTCTTGAGAGCGAACGAAAATCAGTGCACATTGTTCACTCGTGTAATTTATTTTACAGGAGCAGTGACAATGTAGTTCACATTAATTGTGGTGAAGATGGTGGAATTCATATTGTGGTGTTGATGATGCCCATGGTTGCGATGTCAAATCGCTGTAGTTCCTTCTGCCAGTGGCAGCACCACAAGTGGTGCTGCCACCACAAGTGGTGCTGCCACTGTCGCTACCGCGTGTGGTGCTGCCACTGTCGCTACCACATGTGGTGCTGCCACTGACACTGCCACGTGTGGTGCTGCCACTGACACTGCCGCGTGTGGTGCTGCCACTGTCCCTGCGTGTGATGCTGCCACTGTCACCGCGTGTGGTGCTGCCACTGTCACCGCGTGTGGTGCTGCCACTGTCACCGCGTGTGGTGCTGCCACTGACACTGCTGTGTGTGGTGCTGCCACTGTCATTGCCACGTGTGGTGCTGCCACTGTCCCTGCGTGTGGTGCTGCCACTGTCACTGCCACGTGTGGTGCTGCCACTGCCACGTGTGGTGCTGCCACTGTCGCTACCGCGTGTGGTGCTGCCACTGACACTGCTGTGTGTGATGCTGCCACTGTCACTACCGCGTGTGGTGCTGCCACTGTCACTGCCACGTGTGGTGCTGTCACTGCCACGTGTGGTGCTGTCACTGCCACGTGTGGTGCTGTCACTGCCACATGTGGTGCTGCCACTGTCGCTACCGCGTGTGGTGCTGCCACTGTCATTGCCACGTGTGGTGCTGTCACTGTCACTGCCACGTGTGGTGCTGCCACTGTCATTGCCGCGTGTGGTGCTGCCACTGTCACTGCCACGTGTGGTGCTGCCACTGTCATTGCCACGTGTGGTGCTGTCACTGCCACGTGTGGTGCTGCCACTGTCACCGCGTGTGGTGCTGCCACTGTCACCGCGTGTGGTGCTGCCACTGACACTGCTGTGTGTGGTGCTGCCACTGACATTGCCGCGTGTGGTGCTGCCACTGTCGCTACCGCGTGTGGTGCTGCCACTGTCATTGCCACGTGTGGTGCTGTCACTGCCACGTGTGGTGCTGCCACTGTCCCTGCGTGTGGTGCTGCCACTGTCCCTGCGTGTGGTGCTGCCACTGTCACTGCCGTGTGTGGTGCTGCCACTGACACTGCCACGTGTGGTGCTGCCACTGACACTGCCGTGTGTGGTGCTGCCACTGTCAGGGCCGTGCTGGCTTCCTGGCTGCTGGGTGAGCGGCTGTCCCCGCTCGGAAAACTGGGGTGCGTGCTCTGCTGTGTCGGTTGCATTGAGATCATCATCCACACCCCCAAGGCCAGCGAAGTCCAACGTCTGGCTGAGCTAGAGGACCGCCTCACTGACCCAGGTAAGACCCATGTCTAGCTGCCAAACAGGGTCTCTTATTTTTTCTTTCTTTACATCACTGTTTTTTTTCTCTTTTCTATCACTATGGCCATGTTTTCCATTCATGTTGAGGGCTAGGTCTACCAGACTGACTGTTTCGTCTCATCTACACCGTGTTCAACCACCACCACACTGCAGGTCACAACAACACACTCACCCGCTTACTGCACTGGAGTCGATGGGCTGAGTCAACTCCAACCAGGATTTGAACTCACAACCTTTCGACGGCGAGCTGCTCGCTCTTCTGCTGAGCCACCCAGCCGGGTGATAGGATGATGCAAATTTCGATTTAAAGCTTTCATGACTGCAAGGATTCATCTTCTTTGGTTCTTTCGGTAAAGTCACGTAGAATGATAATAAAATAATAAATTGATAAATAAAAATAACACAATAAAATTCTCACGACGTTTCGGCCACAACACAAGCGGCCTTCATCAGGTGAAGGGACGAGACTGTCTGGAGGACAGCGCTGGAGCGAACAAAGCCATGCTCAGATCGCAACCTTTAAGCTGTGTGAGAAGAAACAAAGCGCCTTGACAAAGGAATTAGCATAGAATTTAGCATTGAAATAGCTGAGTGATTAGCTTGTGACTGGTCACAGAAATGGCTATGTTAAAGTCAAAGCATACACATCCACAGAGGCACCCCTTGACAAAGGAATTAACATAGAATTTAGCATTGAAATAGCTGAGTGATTAGCTTGTGACTTGTCACAGAAATGGCTATGTTAAAGTCAAAGCATACACATTCCCAGAGGCACCTAGTACAAATCAAACAGGAGAATTTAGCATTGAATTAACTAGGAGAATTTAGCATTGAAATAACTGAGTGATTAGCTTGTGACTGGTCACAGAAATGGCTATGTTAAAGTCAAAGCCTACACATCTGAGCTATTCAGAGTAACTGGGTATACACTACACTATATAATGAATATTATATAGTAAACCAATAAAAAACTAAAATATAAATTACCTCAATGTTATCAATAAACTCTATATATTCTCCAATCAGCTAAGCTACCAACAATAAGTCGTTATATATCACAATGCTATATGGCGAAAAAATGGGTGGATTCTTACCCTCAGCTTTAGCACCACGGATAGCTACGAGCCCCGTTCAGATGGACGAGTTCATCCATGGTCGGAACGGAGGAGGGGGAGAGAGACAGCTGCGAGGCGCTGTTATACTCCATGTTGTAAACCATACCATTAACCGTGGTGTGAGAGGTATTAAGAGTCAATGCCAGCGAAAGAGCTGCGGTCTGAACGTCTTCGTAAAATACAATTAATTAAGAATGGAAATGGTTTAAAACATCTTTCCAGTGGTTACTAAGCCAGAATCCATCTTCTCGGTTGAAATTGTCTATGTGATGCAAGTCAGGGATTACATAACCCTTCCTCTCTGAGATTCCTCTGTCCCCTCTTGGCCCCTGCAGTGTTCTGGGCCTATGTGGCCCTGGTGCTGCTGGTGCTGCTGACGCTCGTGCTGCGAGCGGCGTCTCCCGCCGGAAGCTCCGACGCGCTGGTGCCGATCGCCATTTGCTCGCTGTTCGGCAGCTTCACAGTGCCGAGCGCCAAGGGCCTGGGCCTCGCCGTCTCGGAGCTGCTGCCCTCAGCGGCGCCCCCCAGCACGCCGCACGCCCCGCAGCTGGCGCTGGCCGCGGCGGCGGTGCTCACGGTATCACTGCCGGCGCAGCTGCGGTATCTGACGTGCGCGCTGGCCGCGTCCAGCTCGGCCACTGTGGTGCCCGTGTACTACGCCGGCTTCACCGTCTCGGTGACGGCGGCATCCTCCGTGCTGTTTCGTGAGTGGGCCGGCGCGAGCGCGGTAGCGGCGCTGGGTGCGGCGTGCGGTTTTGTGACCGTGTGCGCCGGAGTGGTGCTGGTGGAGGCCTACAGAGACGGTAGCCCCCCCTTGCCGTGCCAGCCGCCACCGAAGCGAGACTGACATTGGGGCGGTTCTGACGATGGGCCGACGTGGCCCATAAAGTTCTCCGTGGCCCGGCGGTAACGCCTTCGCCGCTTGTTGCAATTCGAATGCGGCTGGCCACCCTGGTTATTCCCACATGTGCATCACCCGTGAAACACATGCTGTCTTCTTCGCGATAGACATTAAACATCCCGTGCCATTTTGTGCCAGTGTCATGGTCCAAATTTGTCAAATTTTAAAAATGATACTGCAAGTTAGCCAATTGGGATTCCACAAGGCAACGTCATTGCCCCCTGCTGTGAAACCACTGGAAACTACGTCTACAAAACACAGCGGCGCCATCCTTCGCGATAATTTCCTTGCGCTATAAGAATGGCGCGAATACCAAATGCACTTGATTATAATTTTTAGAACATCCTTTAATCGCCAGTTTTTTCTCATGTTTAAAGGCCTTTACAAAGACGTAGCTAATTATGTCTTGAAAGCTACTCGTGATACCAATTATCTATTGCAATCTGATGATGCGAGTGTGTGTGTGGGTTAGTAAGCATGAGACATAAAGCAGCAGCGGTTAATGCCAGCTACACTGCACTCACAAAGGTGGCATCGCTATGCAGTTGCCTCATTGTCCTGGTGTTGCCTAAGATGGTGTAATGACAGTAGAGTCTACGTGCGGTGTGAGTGGACTAGTGGCCAGGGGAGGTAGTGACAGGGGAGTCAGCCTCCAGTGCGAATGCACTAGTGGCCACGGCAGGTAATGACGGGTATCAGTTGTGAGCATAAAGGGACTGGTGGCTACGGGAATGATCGAGAATGGAGCATGGTCAGGTGACGGAAGAGGACGGTAGAGTCTGCTGGTGGAGCGAGCGTCCAGAGTCAGCAAGAAGGTTCGGGAAGGGGGGCGTGGCCTCCGTCGGTATATAAATGAGATGCGCGGGAGACTCAGGGCTGTTGCAGTGGAGTCTCTGCCTGTGTCAAGTGAACGTGTCTTCAATGAAGTGCCATCTCAAGAGAAGTGTGCCAAGTCGTCGTTACAATAGTATGGCCACAATTTGGTTGTGAGGACCAATCCTATGGCCTTGGTATATGCGGCATGATGTGTTTGTGATGGCTATGACAATTGACGCCCTGGACACCTTTGCAAATGAGATGTTTCATCTCAAGGGATTTCCCAGGTGAAATATTTTAATTAACAAATAGCCAATTAATTTTTCCCCCTGTAAATTACCTCTTCTGTGCGTCTTGTTGTCCAATGATTGTTGCCGTTTAAACATTGTAGTGCTTGTTGTGTCGCTGTGAGAACGAGACAAACTTAAATCCAAAACTACTTTTATGTAGATTTAACAGTTCAACAAATAAGATAAAACATTTAAAGCAAATCTGCACAGAATCTCGGATGTGTCAGACGCCTGTTATTAACAGAAAACGTATATTTACAACTAACACTTTTAAAATACAGTTCTCCAAACTACAGAAGAGATTACCAATCGTAGTTTTGTCTGCAATTACAAACGTGCATGTGTGTGTGTGAGATTTCAACAGTTTTTTAATAAAACATTACTACAGCACAGTACCAGATGTATGTAAACATGAACATAGGACAGAAAGTAAGTTGACATTTTAGGAGATCATTTTAGAAATTCACCCTCTCATTGGGTATATGAAGCTTACAATTGTTACAATTTCAAGAGATTGTTTGGACGAAGGTTGAGGGTTACATTGTTCTGATACTGAACGTGGAATCATAGTTCCAAGTTTATTTTGTGAAACCAGGTAGGAACTCAAGACACCAAGATAAGGTAATTCGTAAGATTGACCTGGGGCATTACTCTACTAGTAGGGGGCAGTAATTGGCTGCTGTGTGTGGATTCCTAATTGAGTAATTTGCGGGTCATTTTCGAATTTGTCAAATTTGGATCTTGATGCCAGCACACATTGGCCTACTCTTGCGAATGACGTGCGGGGATTTTTAAGGTCCACGTGTATATGGTTAGTAGGGTTACTACGCCCACAGTATTAACCAGGGCAACCGCTGAATTCGAACTGTGACCCTCCACAACGAGCGGCGAATGCGCTACCTCAGGTTCCACGTCGCCACCCACAGGAAGTAGTCCGGCACGAGTTCCTGAGCGCCAATGTCCGTAGACTTGTGACCATTACGACGAGGTTAAAACCCCCATTGGGACCAGGGGTCTGCTTTTAAACGGAGACCTAATTCTCATCTCTTGCCAGAGCTGAATTAGCAAATCTGAGGTCCTCGTTTGAATACAACACTCATTGAAGTTTACTCCGAAACAATGTTTTTAAGTGTCTGCATTTCATGGTTATGGAATATGAAAGGTCAGCACATCACATGCTTTAAATGATTATTGTCGAGCAAAGCTCAAGGAGAAGTTTTGCATAAGTCGGTCGGCTGGATATTGGGTGGTGGAGACACCAGAGGAACGGACAAGTAGATGTGTGACTACGCAGAGTGGTCACTACTGAAGAAGAGACAGTCAATTGTTTCCTGTGTCATCGCACGAGGGTTGCCACAATTTCCAATGTGGGAATTGGCATCTGTGCTCGGGTGGCAGGAATGGGTCTGTACCGTGATCTGGTACTGGTGTTGAAACGTTATTGCACGAAACTGCACAGTTTTTGATAGACTTGGGCCGACTGGAGAAGTTTGCCCGTGTTTGGTCTTCCTCGCTCATACTCGTCACCAATGTGGATACAGTTGGGAGTGGCCAATGGCAAAACTATGAATTGTCACACATTGATATTTGTCACGTGGCCCAATGTTTATGTTTATCAGCACAATATCATAAGTCTTCTGCGTTTATTAACATGAATGATAAAAACTGTAAAAAAAACACATGCCGAGATAACAATGTTGCTGCACCACGCCTGCGTGCGCACCTGTAGATGCGCAGTGGCCTGGTGCGGCTCCCGTGAGTCGCGGATCGGGGCAGGGTCTGTCCCGCAGTTGCCACCTCTGAGCTACAAATCAACCAGGAAATTCGGTGTTCTCCCCCTCGTTCTGCATGGGTTTACTCCCATGTCTGAAAACACAACAATGTACCCGGTATTTGCCAAATATCCCAAAGCTGCAACATTACGGGCAATTACTCAGTCGGGATTACACACAGCAGCAACATCACCCCGTACTGTGAAAACCCTGGCAGGAGCCTCCTGATAAAGAGAGTTGAGACTCAGGCTCTCCTGGGTAAACGAGCACAATCATAATAAATAATAAACTGAGATGATGCGAGTGATCACAGTGTTGCCTTGGGAAAATTCTCAGAATTCAAATGCAAGATCTGAGTGGTGCGCATTCAATGTTCTGTTCGCCCAACACCACGTCCACTCACAAACGCGCCTCGTGACTTCGAGCTCACCACTGCACATTATTTTACCAACATATTGGAGCGTGTTTAACACGTGGGCTTTTGCGAACCAATATTATCCATAATAACAGAACATGGCAATTCGTTATGTTTAAGTGACAAACCTTACTAATTGGTTGTGTCGAGTGGTGGCGGCTTTAACAACACATATTTAGTTATTTGCGCGATTTAACCCAAAAAGAAAACCTGTATTATGGACGAATTGGAGTGTGCTATGTAAATAAAGATTAATTTCACCTTTTTCACGTAACTCATCTGTATCATAAGTTTTATATAATCACACTTTAATGTTGAGCAAAGTGCATTATTATTTAAGTAAATTTGCCAAATATTGTACTTCGTAGTCAACATGTTTACAATGGTAGTGCCACATCATAGAAGCTGCAGTGCCTGGCAAAACATGTCTAGAGCGTACGCATCATGCGCCACGTCACACTGCACAGAGAGAAGGCCACTCCACAGAGGTTATCTCGTGCCTGGGCTAGAGTACCCAGTTCCCACCTCACTACATCTGATAGAATTCAGAGTGAAGCAGTCGGGTTGAATGATGATCCAGTACTCACCGATTCATTACAGCCCCTCCCTCAGCAGTGATGAGTTTTCTCTTTATCACTCTTCTATCACTACTACCAATGGTTACTGTTCTTCTGAATGTCATTCTTTGATGCCTCCACCTGTGTTAAGGACACTGTCTGCCAGACTGACTTTGTTCTCATTCACACTGTTCAACTGCCACACTGCAGATAACACACCCACCCACTCATCCATTCACCCATGCACTCACTCACTGACTCAACCACACACCACGCTGCAGGTCACAACCCTTCTATTTCTGCTTCTTCCGTTGTACTGCTCAAATTCTGAATTCCCCCCCATCCTCTCGTTTCTCAAGCCCTTATAATAACTTTGCTTAATTCAAGCAATGTGGTAATTCTTATCTACTACAACTGTGATGGTTGTGTTTGTTGCTGGCCGCTTTAGTATTGTGAGCCCTTGGGCCTGTACTCAGCAACTGTAAAAAAAAAGGTTTATTTTTTGCAGTAAATATTACTGACTTTCCTTGGCGGAGAAGAACTGCCACGATCCTGGCCTCCCCCGATAAGGATCTGGCACTCACAGTGGCCAGCTCCACTGGCGCAGCCTCGTGTCCATCCGTGGTGAAGTCACAGCAGTGGGTGCTGGTGTGTACTGGTGTGCCGGTGTGTTCTGCTGTGCCGGTGAGGTGCCGGTGCAGTGCTGGTGTATACTGGTGTGCAGGTGTGTGCTGGTGTGGTGGTACAGTGCTGATGTGTACTGGTGTGCCGGTGTGTACTGGTGTGCTGGTGTGGTGCCAGGGTGTTCTGATGGGCCGGTGCGGTGCCAGCCCTCGCGTTGCCGTCACTGGGGCTGCCGCTACCGGCCGGGCACGCGCAGAGCCAGCACGCAGGACTTGCACGTGAAGAATCCGGTGATGCAGAGGATGCACAGTGCGAACACGGACACCCCGATGAGGATGCGTGTCACAGCCTCTGTGTGCAGGCTACCTGTGGGAAAAGGACACGTATCAGACCTATGCAACGTTCGTGGTGGCTAAGTAGCCTCAAAACTTTTTCAGAAGGCTACTGACAAGTTTTCACAGTCGCGGGCAATGCTGCTGCTGTGTATAATGTCTTTAATGAGAAATGTACAGCTTCACTTTCAGCTTTGGGATGTTTGGTCAACACCATTTCCACTGTGTGTGTGGGTTTAGCTTTGGGAGGAAACCGGAAAACCTGGAGAAGACCCATGCAAAACTGGGAGAGAACATGAACTCTCCATGGAAAAGCGCCCGAGTCAGGAATCAAACCCAAGCCCTTGTTGTCAGGCACATGTATTACCGACGGTGAGCAACACCAGCATTGGTTCAAGCAACCGTGACTCTGCTGACGAGAGACTGAATGTCGAAACAGTTCCAGAGTTTGCTTGCGTTGAACCAATGCTGCCGACATTGAGCTCTTCGTGGCTCATACGCAGCGCCATTAGCTCTGGCCCTGTGGGAGGCTCACGAGTCGAGGCAGTGTACGACACGAGCACGTGGCCAAGCGTTAACGCTATTCCAGTACTGCGCTCGCGCAGGAATCTCAAGCGCTCGCACGTGCCCCTCACCAGCAGCGGCTATGCTGCCCATGTGCTCCTCGCTCTTGGGATCCGTGGCGTGTTTCCCATCTGCCCAGGCATGCTCACATGCTGCGACCAATCCCACACGCGGGAGGCATTGTTAGGTGAAATACCGGTGTTATAAGCTTGTGCAAAAAACTCTCAATTAAATTAATTTCAAATGACAATAAAAATACACCGCAATTTGATTTTTTCAATCCCAAACGTGTAACGCATGATATGGGGACCAATATCGTGGATCATAATATCCGTGGGATTTTCTGCAAAGTGACAATGCCTTGGAAAGTGCCACCACGTGAAGCACAATCTGAGGATTGTGGTCAGATACATGATGTCACCTTTGGGTAAATTATCAATACCATGCGTGGTTCTGAGGTTGTACATCGTTATTTGTAAGAAATGCACAGAATACAAAGTGTTTGAAACAATTACATCTTATCTGTGAGTAGCTATGGCCCTGCTGATTAAAATAGAATTCTGAGTAAAATCTTGAAATAAGTGAGTAAAATCTTGAAATATCAAAATGCTGCCTTGCAACTTGTGACTGGCCAGTACTCCGAAATTCTTAACTTGCATTTTTGGAAAGAAAAAAAATCTAGATGGCAAAGCAATGCCACCTTTCCACTGACCAAACCCACACTTATTTCTCAGTCAACCCGAGGACTACCAAACCTCTGCAGTATCTTGCCATAAAGTTCACCACAATACCAGTACCAGACTTTGGTACGGTACAATTCAATTCCTGTCACCCGAACACATGCCAATTTCCGGACAGGTGGCATCTTCAGCAGGGTGGCAAAACGCGTTTCATCGGGACTGCAGAGTGACCAATTTGGACGTGCGCTGGCAAGGACGCGTCCCCATTGCCACGCGGCACATGCAGGCGGCTGGGGCATCATGCATACGAAGATTGAGCCATCTGTCTGGTCCCAGGAGCCGGCGGATTTCCTATCCAGATATTCGACGTGCATACAAGGCCATTACTCGGTACGCGTACCACACCAGCACAATACAGCACATTAAATCTACCATGGTATTCTAGACTCGGACACGGAATAATGATGATGATGATGAGATTTGGCCGTTGATTGTCAGTGACAGACGGCAAATGTGCTGGTCAGGCCACTCAGGCCTGAGCAGCATCTGTGACTGTCACCAATGAATTTCTTCAGTTCGGCTCTATGAGCCAATGAAATGCATTAATTCTAAGAATCCCACAGATGTCTAATGCCCCATTTCCACGACCACTGGGGATGGTTTCTATACCAGGTTCACGGGTTTGGCCGATGGACATAACCTAGCCTAACCTAACCCAAGCCTGCATTATACTTCATTTAAAACTTTCTCATTCGTTTTGTCCACACGTGGGGGGGGGGGAGGGATAAAATCAGAAGGGATGACTCCATGGAGCTCCAGGGCTCACGAGGTGTGGGGGGACACACACCAGGTCGTGAATACTAGGTGGGCAAATCTGGCCACCGAGCCTGCTTTATCGTTACAATAAATAAGCGAACAATGCGCCTCTACTTATCTCTCCGCATAAAAATATCAAAGTATATACAGTTAATTGAAAGTTACATTTAAACAAGCACTAAACAGTGTATGATGCACTGGAAGGCTGCAATAATCTGAATGACGGGGAGGCATCAAAACAATTTGATTTGGTGTGTAGCGATGTCGCAGCGGTTTAGCGCACTGCACATTGAACCCGACAATCTTGAGTTTGATTCCTGCATAGGACATCAACATTCATGCCCACCCCCCTCCCCTTCACAAATCCACAATGACCAGCACGAGGAAGTATGGTTAATGGATAGTGACCCAACTGAGATGAGTCACACCGTGTTCGATAAGCCGATCAGCAGCCGGCTGCTCATTGCACTGTGTTGATCACAAATGACTGATTCATAATTTATTTGCGGTTAGGCCACGTAATGATCCGGCCAAGTTTGTGTCATTAAGACAGCCACCACCGTTTAATTTTGATTTGCTAACTCGGTTGTGAGACATGTTCTTCAACTCAGCGGTGAGGTGAAAATAATTGGTGCAATGATTGCTTGTACACCGAGCGACAGTTACATTTGTTTAGCTGTGTTGGGTGCTCAATGTCTTAATGATGAATATTTGGTCAGATCATCACGTGGCCAAACCATAGGGCACCTAAAGAACCTGGCTATGCAGTGTAATGTCTGACATGGGGGTGGTGCGGTGGTGATGCTCGAGAAAAAACCAGCCTGGGCCGAGCGGCGCGCCGGCGACAGGGCGAGTACAGACCCTGCGTGGTCTCGGGGCTGCGCGCACACGTCCAGTTTCTCAGGCAGAGCTCACAGTGCTGGCCACTGAAGACGGCGCAGAAGGAATGCGAGTCGCAGCCGCAGGTGGAGTCGGCGTCACGTGAGCAGTTCCTCGCCAGCACGAGGCCCCTCTCTGCGGACACATGGGGCACCGGCGGTCAGCAACACGGCTCGAGAGCTCCCCCCCACTCTATGGCCACCCAGAACTCCTCCAAGGTCTCAATTTGAGCTCGTGCACACTCCAAAGTTGAACTCCTAAGACAATTTGGCATTACTTGATTTGAGGGCTTGTGGGAGTGGATTGACAATTGTTAAAATTTAAATATTTACGTCATAATTACTACGCTTGTTTACCTTACCCAGGAAAGCCTCAAGACTCCTTTTCAGGAGGATGGTTTGAGGTGTTTTCTGTGTTTCCTCATCGAGTACTTTGCAAGTCATATTTTTTTTAATTTTGAAAATTGGACCCTGACTATCCCACACAAAATGGCCTATACTTCTTTGAATAACGGCACGGAATATGTAACGTTCAATGCGAAGCAGACTGCATGCATTATCACGGTGAATATACAGACTGCAGTGATAACCAGGGCATCCTGCTGGCCTCGAACCTCCGATTAGCACGGTTGGCTATGTACGGTGCGAAAGAAGTTCAACATACATACAAACCGCAAACCTCCGCAACGGCGAGCGGCGAATGCCCCACTGCTGGGCCGGGTCACTGCCCCCGCCCCCCCCCCCTCTTTGAGCAAACAGCCATAATGTAGTTTAACACGTAGGCTTTCGCGACCAATATTATTCATAATAAAGGTTTTTGGGTTAGATCGCGTTATTTATAAATGTGTCGTAACCCTCCACCACCCGACACGGCCAATCAGCAAAAAAAGTGTCACGTTGACAAAAGACAAATAATTCACTACTTTAGCCCACCGGTGTGTTGAAGAGTGAATCGACAACATTTACAGTTTGAGTACGACGTTTCGCTGGTAAATACATCCATAATGTACTTTATTCGTTTTCCTACCAGGTGCGGCTTTCTACACGCGCTACGGTTTCTACGTGTGCTCTCGCCAACATGAGAATCAGATGCACAGCGTTCGAGGGGCTTCTCGTTAATGGCTCAACGCGGTCCACGGTGAGGTGGCGAGAAGCACGTGGCTGACCGTGGAGGCACGGCGTGCACGGCAAGCAGTGCGTCAGCGCGTTGGGGAAGCTGGTGAAGGAGCCAGGAGGGCAGGGAGAGCAGCGCACCGCGTCCCTTGCCTCGGAGCCCACCTTGTAGCACCCTGCAGAGACAAAGATCCCCCGTTTAGCCTTTAACAGAGTGTTGGGGGCAAGTGCTGTGAGCGAGCACTTGTGAAGGCCGGCACGGCGCACGACGAGGAGGTGGGTGGCCAATGCGCACACACGGCGCGTGCCGAGCGGACTCTGCGTGCAGCTGAACACCGGATCTTCTGGCGCGCTCACTCACGCCTAGATGAGTCGAACGTCCAGAGCTCTGGTGCTGCGTCTCATGGTCTCTGTTGTCCATGAGTAGTGAACCTGCCATGCACAGCAAGGGTGGCTCTGTGTGGAATGTGGCGGTTCGGCAGGGATGAGGCTGTGAGAGGAGTGGTGCAGTAAAGGCTTCAGGGACAACCAATAATGTGGATTATAGTTGGGCTGGTTTCACTCAGTTGTCCACTCGAATTCAATCGAGGTTTGAGCAGCGCCGGCAGAGGTAATGAATGGTCCACTTGACCACCCGGCCACATTCAGCTTAATGTGTAAATTGAACAGAAAGAGATATTTTTCCCAATAATGTTTTATTCTAGTTTATATAAACCATGGCTGATGTGTAAAAAAAGTACTTTAATTTATATGTGGCTGGAGATATATGCGACGAAGGCGCATTGTTTGCTGATTGCATTTTTTTGCTATAAGCTCCACAACGACGCTAATTATAAATTTGTGTTGTGTATTTAATAGTTTTGCTTCGAACTAGGACCCATATCTTACGGAGACAACCCTTGCCTATAAACACCTGGCCGTTCAACTGAATTGGTTCAATCGAGCCTGACTCTACTGATGAGACACTGAATGTCGAAGCCAGTCCAGATCGCGAGAGTGAAATGTGTCATACACCCTCCTCCCCTCCACCTGAACGGATACAATTTCACAACTCAACACACAATTGAGTATTAGAAACAAATCGGGGAACACAAGAAATAAAATGGAATCAGAACAATTAAACTCCGCTATATTGCAGGGAGTCACTGATAAGTTAGATAGCTTATTGGAAAAACTAAATCTTTGTGAGATTTGGCAGTCCCAAGGATGAACTTTATCCAAAATAACCAAAAAGTTAGTTTGCTATATTACTTGTATTCGTGACACACGCTGAATTGCTGGCCAGACGGCATGAGAGATTAGCACGATTGACTACGTACGGTGCGAAAGAAGTGTAACATACACCAGAATACAACATTAACGGAGTAGCATGGAATACTCACAAACACAGTTGTTAGGAGTTGTGGATTATACCTGCCAACCAAGACATTTGATGGATGTTGATAATGTTGATGTCCTATGCAAAACAAATTACTATTGGCCAAGACTAATTAGAACATCTATTGAAATTGAGACAACTCGAGGCTGAGTGTACATTATTTTACACTAACACAGCATCATTAAAACATTACCAGTGTAATAGCGCCGGCTGGTGGACAGCAGCGGAAATTGTAGTGGACAGATAGTACACATGCTGGTGAGCGTGAGCAAGGGTGTGTTGGCAGAGCGGACAAACTAGGGCAAGGGTCACGGAGGACCCCATCTGGAGGTCCCTGTAACCTGCTAGTGGGTTCGAGAAGGGAGGCGCGGTCAGGGCGGAGCCAGGCTACGCTGGTAGCATAAAAGGAGCCGAGAGCGGGAGCTCGAGGCTGCCGGTTCTGGTAATGGACTCGTCTCGTCGTTGCTGTCGTCTCGTCGCTGTCGTCACTAAATGTCTCCGCTAAATATTGCGCTACGAAAGATAGTAGTTGGCTATCTTTCATACAGGTTAGGCTAAACTACTGTGGAGAGTGTGTGAACGAGACCGTGAAAGTTGTTAATGAAGAAAGCGCGCCCTAGAAACTCTGAATCGTTGACACTACACCAGTATGACCACGTAAGTTTTTGTACCTCATTAATATATCTCCCGTCATTTATTATAAGCTAATGTAACTATCTAGTGTAACTAAATAACAATGACTAACCTGTTCCATCACATATATACTATCCATACCTTTACATTGACGTATCTAACATCATTTATTATCTTATAATGTAATCTTATCATTTATGCAGGGACATTAACATCTAGGTATCACTGGCTGCCACTGCTGCTGAAGCAGCAATTAATTAGGCACTTTTATTCACCCGATAAATGTATAATTTAGCTGTGTTGGGTAGAGGAGGGTTTACGGCACGTATTTTGCTTACGCGACCTGACCCAAAAATAAATAATGAATCAAGTCCGTGCGGTTGATGGGATGCAGATCTTCTCTATATTCCCAGGTCGAGGTTTCGGTCTATAGGTGACCGAGCTTTTTCCTGTGTAGCCCCCAGGCTATGGAACGCTCTTCCATGAAATATCAGAATCTCCGAGTCTGTGGACATTTTAAAAATGCGCCTTAAAACCTATTTATACGCTTCCACTTATTACTTTTTTATTCATTTAATAAATGTTTTTTTTTATGTATTTATAATATTATTTTCATGCTGAGTGTCCCCAGCTGCTGTGTCCTGTACAACGCTTTGATGTCCTTAATGAAAAGCGCTATACACATGTGTAGTGACGTGGAATGTGTCACTACACATGTATATAGCGCTGGTTGCTGGCACAGAGGGGGATCGGCAGGTGTAGTGGCCCTGTCTGCCAGCAGGAGGTCATGAGCCGGGGAAAAGGGGCGTGTGGCAAGCGGGACAGAGGGGACGTAAGGCAAGGGGGTTAAAGGGAACGTGTGGTAAAGCCCGGGAACCTTCTAGTGAGTTCTAGAAGGGGGCATGGCCGAAGGCGGAGCGAGGCCACGCTAGGTGGATGAAAGGGGGATCCCGAGCGAAGGTTCGGGGCTGTTGTTGGAGTGGAACCGTCAAGCTTTTGGAGTCTTCGTCACTGCCTTCACCTTCTCGGCGTTGTAAGTCAGGCAGCCTTAATGTAGTTAGCCCTTGTGCCTGTGAAGGCTGTAATAAATAAAATGCCTCCTACAATTAGTGTCTCCGAGTGATTCACAACACATGTAATTAGGATTATTAAATATGTAAACACGCGCCTTACAAATGCCAATTATTATTATTTGTCATGTGGAGAGACAGGTATGGGCAGGAAGGCGTGCTGTCTGCACGTTGATGTTGTGGTGGTGTCATTGATGGGACGAGGCCCCTGGCCATTCACCTGCGGCGCAGAGCAGGCAGGAGCGCTCCACGGGGTCCCAGGCCTCGCAGCACTCCTGGCTTCCGTGCCTCACCGCAGGCAGAGCCACTCCACACAGCAGCCGGACCTGCACCGCGGGGCCACGCGCACACCGAGCCGTTGCGGCCCCACTCAGCGGCTAGCAAGGTGGCTCAGCCGCCCCACTCAGCGGCTAGCAAGGTGGCTCAGCCGCTCCACTCAGCCAAGTGACTCAGCGGCTTGGACGGTTGTAAGCTCAAATCCTCATTGGGGGTGAACTCAGCGCATCAAACCTCTAGGGTTGATAAATTGGGAACACTTTATGGAGAGAGTATTTTAACAGTGATTACAGAATCGGCCATTGACAATGAAAAAGCAGTCACACCATGACAGAGCTTCTGTGAATCTTTGCGATGTTCCTGCGTGTAATCCCAATTCAGTAATGGGCAGATATATTTTTAGCATTGGGAAGTTCGGCTCATACGAGGTACGTTGCATGTCTTTGTTAGCTACGGGAAGAGACCCATGCAGAACCAAGGGAAGAACTTTCAAACTCCACGCAGAAAGGTGCCTAGGTCATACATCGAACCCAGGCACTTCTTGCTGTGAGGCACAGCCAGTACCGCTGCGCCACCCTGCCGCCCAAATTACACAACAGAGTGGTAGGAGGCAGATTCACTTTATATTCCAAGTGGTGTTGCTAAGCATGCAACAAGAATGAACATTTGTGACTGTAAACCACGGTGAACCCCTGGCCAGTTCTATATAATAACACCCACCAGTGTACACGGCCAAGAGTCAGATCCAAGCTTTTGGGGTAATAGCGCAGTGCTCTATCCACTGCTCTACGAACGTGCATACCACACACCTCCTGTAACAAGGGGATCGTCTTGGCCGTGACCACATTGCCACGAAACTTCAGACAAAGGAACTTGTCATGCCATAGACAGTGTGACAGTTGCAGCACGCTGGTATCAAAACCGATAATCCAAATTTGACAAACGTAAAGCCACCATCAATTAACTGAACAACACTGTCATATTCTTAGTTCTTTCGGTAAAGTCACGTTGAAGGGAAACAACAAAATATTATTTAGTTGTTTCCCTTCAACGTGACTTTTTTATTTAGTTGTTTCCCTTCAACGTGACTTTACCGAAAGAACTAAGAATATGAATTACTGCAGTCACGAAAGCTTTAAATCAAAATTTAACACTGTCATACTTATATATCGTACCGCAATAGTCTCTCAGCTGGTTAAACACTGTCATGGCCAGTAAATGGATTCCCCATTCACGGCTGTTGTAGACTACCCCCTTTTGGTTGAGCACACTCAGCCACGGGTAGCACCCGAAGGTGAAGTGGGGAGGGCCGAGTAGTGCAGCGCAAAGGGACGGGCTGTGGGCTGAGTGCCAAGGGTTCCAGGAAACTGGCTCAGGGGCTAAATCTCAGACATGACCAGGTGGTCAAATAACCTGTCGCCTCTAACCCGGTTACATGGCTAAATTCCCAGACTATCTGGATCAACCCCAGACAGGCAGCGGCTCAACTCACAGTAATTCTAGCGCTTCTGTAATTACATGCGTGGACGTCCCGTAAATGTTTATTGCCACGATAATAACAAAGCAGCTCAAAAATAAATCACTGGAATTTGCGCACAGGTGTTTGATACGATGTTGGGAATTCCGTGGCAAGGCAGGAGAAGCCGTGCAGAAGTGCAGGAGAGAACATGGTAGGAACGCGTGGTAGAGTTGGACGTGTGAGAGTTGGGGTGGGCCACTTACAGAGACAGGCATTGGAATGGTCTCTACGAGTTTGGCGACGTAGGGAAAGAGCTTAGGCGAGATGGTGACTGTTAGGACAGATCTATGGGTGTCTGTGTGAGTGTGTAAGTCTCTGTGTGAGCCTATGCCTCTGTAAATATATAGATCCCTATGTAATCATATTTAAGAGCATATGGCGGGAAGACTGTCAGGGCAGATTCCGGAGGTTGCTGCGTCTCTACTGTGCAGTAGCTGTGGGATCTGGCGTAGGGTAGACAGCCTTGGCGATGTGTGATGGTGACATCAACGACTTTGGCCATTGATGACATCCTGATGTTGGTCTATGCATGTTTAATTTGTGAAATCAAAGTAAATGTACTGCCTAACATCTGCATCAAATTACCCTCACCTGCCGGGGGTGATTACATTTCACAAAATGTCTTGACAAATGCCAATAAGGTCCGCTAAACCTTTTGTTAACATATACACTTAACAAAGTGAGAGGCCATTTTGATGTAATAGCTTCTTTTTCTAAAATACAATCTGTACATTTGACATTTCGGATACAGGATGACACAGATGCACACTGTTCTTCTCTGAGAAGTGGCATCATTTGCAGGATCTGAATATCCACAGTCTGCGTTGCCAGTGCCTCCACAAATCATCATCATCATACTTGACAGCCACCGGAACCCCACCACCCACTTTGCGCAAACTGACCTTGTGCCAATGAATATATTTACACAGTAATACTTTCTCAGACATGTTCAGTATAACGCACAAGCACAACTCCTACTTTACCGTAGCAAAATATTGCTTTTTTGTGGCAGCAGCCTAAGGTGAGCACCCGATTCCCACCTCCGGCTGATGGATGATCCAGCACTCACTGATTAATCCCTGTCGCTCGCTCACCAGCAGTCGTCTCTTTATCGCTCTTCTATCGGGAATACCATGGTTACCATTCCTGTGAATTATATACATGTCTGCATAATGTTTGGCTACTTCATGAGGCAAATTCGTTTTCTCGAATGTTCAATGCCAAGCTTTGGATCACCACAAAAGGCGTTAAGGGATTAAAGGATATACATCACAGCTCTCTGATGATTTATTTTCTACTAAAATGAGTGTAAGTGCTCACATCTTGTTTACAACCCTGATCCATGGGTTGAAATTCCACATTCCTATGGTGGGGGGACAGGAAAATTCACTTCAAAAGCACTCTTCACTCCCATTGAAAGGAGCACATTGTTTGACCCTGGCGGGATGAACGGCCGAGCCCATCTAGGTCCCAGATTCGAAGTCGTAGCTTTCTGATTGCAGCAAGTTGAGTGCTGAGTGCAGACCTAATCCCGCTCAAGGCATGCACAGCACCTTCACAGAGGCTCGTCAAGGCCAGTGGAGATGAAGCCGCTTCTAATTAAAGCTCGGCGGAGAACTCTCACAGGGCTCTGCTTTCTTTGTAAGGAGATCTGGGGACCATGCCATCCACAGGAATAGAAACAATGTGGCAGGAATGCGCGGAGGCCCACGGGCCCGAGACGCGCAGGTCTACTTCCCATGCGGAGGAAGCCGCGTATCGTGTTTGTGTCGCGGTCGGGGCTCAGGTGTCGTGGCTGCCGTTCTCCGACCCCAGCAAACTGCGCCCGCGCCGTGCTCTGAAAACGCAATTACACGGCTCAGCCTACTGAGTTTGTCGTCACCGCCAACTGAGGCCATCCGAGGCCGAATACCTTTACCCACTGTCCAACACAATCGCCAACATTCTCCTGTCTCCCATAAGCAGATGCAGACACTGTTGATCGAGGGACAGTATATGGTTTGGCATATCTCAGAATGCTGAATACCTACTGTAATACATATATAAGCAGGCAATTTACATCCTTCACAAATCTGTCCCTCTGCATAAAAACTAATTTTAGTTTTACACACACATCAGCCACATGGAATTTTGGGAGTGCTTAATTTCAGCAACATTTGTTCAACACAGCAATCTCTGGACCAGTTTTAACCTTCAGTGTCTCATCAGGCTTGCTGAACCAATGCTGGTGAACTGCCAAATATTCATAGGCAAGGATCCTCTCTGTTAGATATGGGTCCTAGTTCGATGCAAAACTCTGTAATACACGACATAATCATTCGATTTGTTGTGGAGACTGTAAAGTAACACAATGAATAAGTAGACAATTCACCAGATTTGGGAAGCAGGCGTGCATCTGCTTATTTACTGTTACCTATATTCTATACAGTGACGCTCATGACTAATTTGTGTTTTGTGATGAGGTTCACAGGCATGAGAGAAACCCCAAACACCGCAAAACTTGCCTCTCTAGATTCAGCACCAGATGGTGATATATGAAGTATAGTTGTGAATAGTTGGAAATAGAATTGCTATCACTGGTAGCTGTAGAGAGGTTGTCCACGTAACGAATTTACATGTGGCAGGACAATCTAGTGGTTCATTTATGTAACCCCACCTCTCCGTCACATTTGCACTGCATTGCACGAGAGGGCACGTGCAGGGCACCGTGGAGCGGTCTCCACCAGATCCAAGCAAGGTTCCAGTTTTGAGGGATTCAGAGAAATTCCCAAAACTCAGAGGCAACCTTCCGAGAAATCTCAGCGTAAGCTGAGAAGCGTTGAATAGCTTCCCTGGGCTGCCGCCGTGTTTGAAGCTTGTGTCGGGGACTGATAGAGCCTCCCCTGATACAACTGCAGATTACCAGTGATGTGAGAGAGCTTTGCAATAATAGCCACTTCATATTTGTACACTGACATGTTTTAGATGAGCGTTTACTTCAGTGTTTCTGTACATTTAAATGTTTTTTTTGTTGAATTACATAGCCACCGTGGACGCCACACGGTGGCGAAATGTTAAATACCTCGCCTGGTATACAGGAGGTTGTGGGTTCGATCCTGACCCTGACACCTGTATATTTGGAATTTGCATGTTCTCCCCGTGGTGGCGTGGATTTAGAAACATGCGTTTAGAGTATTTGGCTGCTATGAATTTCCACGTGATAAGCCCACTTCGTTGAGCTATCATTTGTGGCCAGGTCGCTTCTGAAAAACAGCTGTATAGCTCAGTGGGCCTGATTTGCTAAAATAAAAAAATAGATATAGAAAGTTACTGCTTCCGTGAACTTCACTCATTGACTTCTCCTTCAATGCAAGTTGACTGCTGCCTTACCCACCCACACCAAGTTCAACAACCACACCGCAGATCACAACGCCTGCTATCTGCTTCTTCCACTCTGGCATTCCATAACATCGTCTCTTTCCAAGCTCTTATCAAAATAATCTTTCTCAATTCAAGAAACGTGTTAACGCTTAGCACAACTGTTTGTTTGCTGGTCGCTTGATCTTTTGGGTCTAGCGGTGCTCAGCAACTGAAAACCTGTCAAGCCCTTATCAGTTTTCCACCTTATTACAGACCAATTCAGGCCTTATTGGTCACCCCGTGCCCTTATAAATCTCAAAGTTCATCCTACAAAATCCCATTACAAGGGAGAAACAGAAAGAAATAGACAAAACAAATGTTTCCTCTATTGAAACGGCTGTACGCCATATGGACCTGAAAACTCAATTTCTCTGTAAATTAATACGGGTAAACCGTATGGTTGACAACTATGCAACTGTGGTTAATAAAAACAAGGCTGCATCCTGTTGCTGTCATTAACTGCACTGCACCACGTCACTTTGTCTTGTTGCATATCATTGCAATATGTGTTTTGATATTTAACCCGATTATATAGCCTGCTGGGTTTTTGTCTCTCCCAACATGCAATGAATAAAAGTCGGTGTGGAGTCTATAACAGGTGGCGAGCCCTGCACAAAACGGCAGGTGCAGAATGTTTGGGATTCAACCGAAATGCCCAGTAAGGCCCAGTGCACTGAGCAAGGAATTTTGTGCTGAATTTGAAGAATCTTACTCACGTCGACTTGGGAGCCCAAGGGTTGACCCAGCTGGAATGTCACCACCTGCTGTTCTCCGCTTCTCACAATTAGCTACGCGTTTCCGGTAGTAATGTTAAAATAATGGCTTCAACCGCGAGTTATAGTAATTGTGGAGTAGCTTTATTTTAACAATGTATATACGTATGCGATGTACGTATACCGGGATATTTCAAAATGGCCAAGTGTTCGGTCGTACAAATTGCAGCGCCCACAGAGGCTGCGTGTTGCTGTCCTCACACCCAGAATAATCAGCTCTTCATAGAGTACGTGTACTCTATGCGGAGTTCTCATACATGTCAACCCATCATGGTTTACCCCATATTCTGGTACAGGAAAATTGAGCTTTCAGGCCCATACGGCCCCTTGTAATGGGATTTTGTAGGATGAACGTTGAGATTTATAAGGGCACGGGGTGACCAATAAGGTCTGAATTGGGGTTGACAGGTATAGACTATCGCAATGCGGTACTTTATGTAACGGATAATTGTATCATATCTCTTGAAGGTGATTTCAGTTGTCATGACGTGCACCTTTTAAGGCAGTGTAATTGACAAATGTGTGGAGTTGTATTGTTAAGAGTACTCTTGCACCGCAGCTAAAGCAGTATCTATAAAAACGATACCTCTCCAGTTCAAATCGATGGCCTAATCTACAAGAAAGCCTTCATTAGCCACTTCAGAAGTCACCGGAGATGTATTTGCAAAGAAGACAAACGCACGTCCGTTGTAGTGCGTTACGTTTATTGGTGAGTGAGTGAAAGTTACTGCAATGTTCCATTTGTGGGTCTCTGATAAAAAAGCTGCGCATAATGAAGAGTGATCATACTGATTGTCAGAGTACATAACCGTGTTCTCTCATCAGAAGCAATATTAAAAGTTCCATAAAGGCCACGGTGTGCTTCGGCAATTTCCTTGCAGGAGAATACCAACTGGCGATTAAACCATTGACCCAATGGACCATTGCTCTCCAGAAATGGGATTTCTTTACAATTGCTTTGTGTGTTCAGTTTGCCATCCTTCAGCACAGTTGGCTACGTACGGTGCGTGAAGGAAGTTGAACATACGTGTACATACACATACAAGGATACACCAGCAAACCGGCTGCACAATGTGGACGGAGCAGCAGAACTTTAAACGTTAAGCACGCGGCTTGAACACTCACCTCCAGAGCCGCGAGCATGAGTATGAGCCGCGGCGGCGTCCGCGAGGGAGCCATGGATGCGAGTCGCTCTCTGTGACGAGTCTCGGCTATCGCGCAGCAGCGATCTCTCTCTGCTCTGCTCGGCCGCTCTCCCCACCCTCCACGAGTCGACGGGACGCGGTGCGCACCGCGGTTAAATATAACGGGCCCGGAGCCATCGGACTGTGAGCGAGAGAGAGAGGGGGAGAGCCAAATGTGGCTGGGTGGGTCACTGGGGGGTGGGTCACTGGGGGGCGGCGGGGGGTGCAGAGAGAGACGCGCAATGCCGGTGTGGCCCTGCTCCTCTTGGCGTGGTGTGAGGAGGGGGTGAGGGCTGAAGGGGGTGAGGGGTGAAGGGGGTGAGGAGTGAAGGGGGTGAGGAGTGAAGGGGGTGAGGGGTAAAGGGGGTGAGGAGTAAAGGGGGTGAGGGGTGAAGGGGGTGAGGAGTAAAGGGGGTGAGGAGTGAAGGGGGTGAGGAGTAAAGGGGGTGAGGGGTGAAGGGGGTGAGGGGTGAAGGGGGTGAGGGGTGAAGGGGGTGAGGAGTGAAGGGGGTGAGGAGTGAAGGGGGTGAGGAGTAAAGGGGGTGAGGGGTGAAGGGGTGAGGGGTGAAGGGGGTGAGGAGTGAAGGGGGTGAGGGGTGAAGGGGTGAGGGGTGAAGGGGGTGAGGAGTGAAGGGGGTGAGGAGTGAAGGGGGTGAGGAGTAAAGGGGGTGAGGGGTGAAGGGGGTGAGGAGTAAAGGGGGTGAGGAGTGAAGGGGGTGAGGAGTAAAGGGGGTGAGGGGTGAAGGGGGTGAGGGGTGAAGGGGGTGAGGGGTGAAGGGGGTGAGGAGTGAAGGGGGTGAGGAGTGAAGGGGGTGAGGAGTGAAGGGGGTGAGGAGTAAAGGGGGTGAGGGGTGAAGGGGGTGAGGAGTAAAGGGGGTGAGGAGTGAAGGGGGTGAGGAGTAAAGGGGGTGAGGAGTGAAGGGGGTGAGGAGTAAAGGGGGTGAGGGGTGAAGGGGGTGAGGGGTGAAGGGGGTGAGGGGTGAAGGGGGTGAGGAGTGAAGGGGGTGAGGAGTGAAGGGGGTGAGGAGTAAAGGGGGTGAGGGGTGAAGGGGTGAGGGGTGAAGGGGGTGAGGAGTGAAGGGGGTGAGGGGTGAAGGGGGTGAGGGGTGAAGGGGGTGAGGGGTGAAGGGGGTGAGGGGTGAAGGGGGTGAGGAGTGAAGGGGGTGAGGGCTGAAGGGGGTGAGGGCTGAAGGGGGTGAGGGGTGAAGGGGGTGAGGAGTGAAGGGGGTGAGGGGTGAAGGGGGTGAGGAGTGAAGGGGGTGAGGGCTGAAGGGGGTGAGGGCTGAAGGGGGTGAGGGGTGAAGGGGGTGAGGGCTGAAGGGGGTGAGGGGTGAAGGGGGTGAGGGGTGAAGGGGGTGAGGGGTAAAGGGGGTGAGGAGTGAAGGGGGTGAGGGGTGAAGGGGGTGAGGGGTGAAGGGGGTGAGGAGTGAAGGGGGTGAGGGGTGAAGGGGGTGAGGGGTGAAGGGGCTGCGGGGTGAAGGGGGTGAGGAGTGAAGGGGGTGAGGAGTGAAGGGGGTGAGGGGTGAAGGGGGTGAGGAGTGAAGGGGGTGAGGGGTGAAGGGGGTGAGGGGTGAAGGGGGTGAGGAGTGAAGGGGGTGAGGGGTGAAGGGGGTGAGGGGTGAAGGGGGTGAGGGGTGAAGGGGGTGAGGAGTGAAGGGGGTGAGGAGTGAAGGGGGTGAGGAGTAAAGGGGGTGAGGGGTGAAGGGGGTGAGGGGTGAAGGGGGTGAGGGGTGAAGGGGGGGAGGAGTGAAGGGGGTGAGGAGTGAAGGGGGTGAGGAGTAAAGGGGGTGAGGAGTAAAGGGGGTGAGGGGTGAAGGGGGTGAGGGGTGAAGGGGGTGAGGAGTGAAGGGGGTGAGGGGTGAAGGGGGTGAGGGGTGAAGGGGGTGCGGGGTGAAGGGGGTGCGGGGTGAAGGGGGTGAGGAGTGAAGGGGGTGAGGGGTGAAGGGGGTGAGGAGTGAAGGGGGTGAGGGCTGAAGGGGGTGAGGGCTGAAGGGGGTGAGGAGTGAAGGGGGTGAGGGGTGAAGGGGGTGAGGGGTGAAGGGGGTGCGGGGTGAAGGGGGTGAGGGCTGAAGGGGGTGAGGGCTGAAGGGGGTGAGGGGTGAAGGGGGTGAGGGCTGAAGGGGGTGAGGGTGAAGGGGGTGAGGGGTGAAGGGGGTGAGGGGTAAAGGGGGTGAGGAGTGAAGGGGGTGAGGGGTGAAGGGGGTGAGGGGTGAAGGGGGTGAGGAGTGAAGGGGGTAAGGGGTGAAGGGGGTGAGGGGTGAAGGGGCTGCGGGGTGAAGGGGGTGAGCGGTGAAGGGGGTGAGGGCTGAAGGGGGTGAGGGCTGAAGGGGGTGAGGGGTGAAAGGGGTGAGGGGTGAAGGGGGTGAGGAGTGAAGGGGGTGAGGAGTGAAGGGGGTGAGGGGTGAAGGGGGTGAGGGGTGAAGGGGGTGCGGGGTGAAGGGGGTGAGGGGTGAAGGGGGTGAGTTCTGAAGGGGGTGAGGGCTGAAGGGGGTGAGGGGTGAAGGGGGTGAGGGGTGAAGGGGGTGAGGGGTGAAGGGGGTGCGGGGTGCAGAAGGGGGTAAGGATCAGGCTGAGGAGCAGTGAAGTGAACGAGGTTTGGACGATTGTCGCTCTCCGGCTTATCCGTGATGTCAGCTCCCCCTGAGGACCCAGGGAGACAGCGGCAGCTCCCAAGTTTAGAAAGCGTTGCTTGGCACATCTCAGTCCAAACTGCAAGACGCCGATATTCCTCTGCCGTCAAAGTCGATACCAGGTGAACAACAAGCGAATGATGAACACTGACTTTACTGAGATACACTGAAGAATCAGAATATGAATTTATACGAATCCGATGAGCTATAAAGCTCTTTCTCATAGATGTCCAGTGGGGGCGAGTAAGAACGTTACAACCTCAAACAGTACAACAACACGATAGTAGTGCAAACTACAAGCAAGGTAAACAAATCACCCATACACATACAAATAAAAACTAAACCACCCCCTTCCTATCAGGCAAAGCCCACTGAGGTATTAACTTGTTTTTCAGAGGTGACCTGGCGATCACGAATGATAGCTCAACAAAGTGGCTTATAATTTGGGCATTTAATCTAAATAATCTCGATGCAAAGGGAAAAAATGGAGACATTCTCACGTATAACACGAATGTCACTTCGTCCACTCGCAATACAAACACGCGGACAAAGCGCCACTTTCACATCTGTCCCCACACATAAACAATGTTAAGGTGCGCTTTCACACATCCCATCAGCCACGCGAATTTGAGACGTTAGTGAAAGACGCCTTACAAATAAATATAATTTATTTTGGAAGCGCACACTTTTAAAAGCATTGGTTCAACTCAATAAGAACGCCAATTATCATTTTGTACACGAATTTAAATGTTGTGGGTTTACTCTCCAACACACCGCTGTTCTGAACTAGTCACGAATTGGCATGTTTTGTTTATGTGATAAACCTTAACAATTGGCTGTGTCGGGTAGTGGTGGGTTTAACGACGCATTTATATTTACGCGTGTAGGTCCTCCTACGCAGCAGCATCAGGAACACCATCGATAAACACACAAACTTGGGACCAGCTTCGCATGATTGTGTATTAACTGCGCCACATTTACACGGGAGTACATCTTCAGGTTTATTCAACCCTCTTACACAACTTGTGATTGTAGACATTACATCTCCGAGAGACTGATCCCTTCTGGAATTGGCTGTTTTTGTACAATTCTGTTGAGGTTTTTTTCTCTAAAATATACCTTTTTTTTTAACTTAAACCTTTCGTGACTGCAGGAGTTCATATTCTTTGGGTCTTTCGGAAAAGCCACGTAGATAGATCAAATAATGAAAAAAAATAACAATATCACGACGTTTCGATCGCAACACAAGCAATCGTCATCAGGTGAGAAATATTGCGGGAGAGCTGCTGAGAATATATATTCGCTAATATATTCACTATTATTATGACGCATCGCGTGGTCATGCTGCGTCGGATATCCGGGGTCAGGACTGCCATAATGCCGACTCCGGCCAGGTCAATGGTCGGAGTTGGCCCATAGGGTCGTTGCCGCGGCCGCAGGCTCTTCGGTAATTGTGGGTTCTCTTGAAGAGGTCGCCTTTCAGATGCTTTTTGACACGGGCGCATCTGTCACGATAATTTCGGACCTTATTTATAACATATTGCCGGAAAAATGTCATACATTGCTTCCAATTTACGTCCCATGTTTCGCCACTAACAGCGGGTCGCTGGGTCTAATTGGCCAAATTAGGGCCCAGATTTGTTTTGGAGACGTGAAATTGGCTGGACCCATTCTGGTCTCGTCATCCCTCGCTGTTGGGTACGGGTTTCTTGGGCAAGATGCCCATCAAAATTGTAATCGATCAAGGCTGTTTCGAATTGCCCTCGGGTCAGCGTATGGCATTCCTACCGTCCCCCACGAGGTTGTGCACGATATGCGCTACTGTTCAGGCGCTGGCGTCCCGTACGATGTGCATCCCACCAGGTGCGCAGATGTTAGTTTTCCTCCGGTTTCAGAAACCTCTCGATCGGGGGTCGACGGTTGGTGGTGTTTTGATAGGGCCTTCAAACAATGCGGTCCGGGGGTTGGAATTGGTTGGTGCGCAGACTCTGGTATCTGGGGATCGAGACCCCTTTATCCAGGTCTTGATTGCTGGGTTACGTACGTCCGTTATACCGCAAGGTACTGTACTTGCTCATCGCCTACAGTCGAATCGCTCCAGGCCGATTCGACTGTAGGCCATGTCAGAGCCGTGCCTCGGCCACAACCACGTTCCAGCATCGATTACAAATGGTTGGATTCACTCTGTTCATCGGCTGGCAATTTGTCCAATTCCCAGAGGGGCAAGTTACGAGCTCTGCTGCTGGATTTTTCTGATGTATTTAGCAAATCTAAATTTGATATTGGATGCACTAAATTGTTGAAACGCCAAATTGATACGGGTGATGCTGTGCCCATCTGGCAGAACCCGTTCTGCTTAAGCCCTGCGGAGAAAGAGCATGTCAGGTTGGCTGTCAATGACATGTTAGCTGCCGATATCATCTCTCCATCCACCAGCCCATAGGGGGCTCACATCGTGCTCGTAAAGAAGCACGATGGCAGCTTACGATTCTGTGTCGACTTTCGCAGGCTAAACAAA